GACCATTTTTGCCCGTTCTGCAGGAGGTCCATTCGAAGAAACACCACAAGAAGACCTACAACACTCAACAGGGAAAAGAACATCTCAATGGGAGACAGATCAACAAGAGGAGGCCAGGAAACGACTAAAAGAAACTCATGAGCCAAATGCAGAAACAGATCGAGAAGCAATCGACTTGACAAGCGTAAAGCATGGACCAAAATTCATGGCCTTGAAACCAGAAACTAAGGGATGGCTACTCAAGCTGCATAAGAATCTGGGCCATCCAGGTTCGGCAAAACTCCAAGCCTTTTGTAAACACATGCAGTGCGCACCTGACATCATAGATGCCATTGAACACATCAAGTGCTCGACATGCATGGAACTAAAGGACCCATGATCCCTCGACCATCAGCTATTAATGAAGAGCAGGACTTCGGAGATATTATAAGTATGGACGGTGTCACCTGGACAAATAAAGAAGGCAAGCAGTTTCATTTTTATCATTTTGGTGACCATGGAACAACCTTTCAAACAGCCATGTGTTTGCCGAGTCGGACCTCCGAAGCAGCTCAAAGAGCACTAGTCCTAGGATGGCTATCCTGGGCTGGAGCACCAGGTCTCATTTGCCTGGATTCTGCCACAGAGTTTGGGACAGACCATTTCCTTCAGTTCCTTCAAAAGCATGGAATCTAACAAAGAATGATTCCACCAGAAGCACGCTGGCAAAACTCCCGTGCAGAACGTCATGGAGGAATCCTCCAGGAAATTCTCACCAAAATGGACGTCGAAGAAAGCATTGACTCGTATGACAAGCTGGAAACATGTCTTGCGTTCGCCACGCAAACGAAGAATCAATGGAGCAGACATAGAGGGTACCCCCCAGAAAGACTGGTCTTTGGAAAACTTCGAAAATACTCAGGGTCAACAATCAGCGATGTCGAAAGCACAGCGCATTCTTTGGCAGAGTCAGGCACAGCAGAAGGTCTGCGTTTTCGCGCCGAGCTTGCAATCCGGGAAAGGGCTAGGAAAGCCTTCAGCCAAGTCGACAACCAGCAAGCCATGAGAAGAGCAATACTCCAGAGAACTAGGCCAAGCAAAAACACGTACCTACCAGGGGAATGGGTCATGTTGTGGAGAGAAAACCAAAAATGGATTGGTCCCCTCAAGGTAGTCCTCCAAGAAGATAACAAGGTGGTGTGGCTGAGCATGGCAAATCGACTCTATAAGGCTGCTCCCGAACAGATTCGCCCAGTGAGCGCAGTGGAAGAACATGAGCTCGACGGCAAATCGGAAACATCCGAAAAAGAGTCCAAACTGAAGGAGACTGTTGTCAGAGATATGACACAGGAAGTGTCAACACCAGTTCAAAATACACCGGAACCCCAAGAAGGATCTAGGGAAAATAGGCAACAGGAAGAACCCAGTGAACAACCAGATCGAGAACCTGAAACCCCCGAATCAAGCTCATCATTTTTGCAAACACCCCGAGCCGAGGAACATGTTCGACCCGAAGACATTCCAGTACCGGTAGAAATGGAGGACGAACTGCAGTGTGAGTGTTTCCATCTCGAAGATGGACAAGGTTGGCAATTAGAAATAGATCTAAATTCTCAAGAATATCATCAACTTGCCAACTCGAGAAACACCGAAGAAGCTATCATTTTTCTCGCGGCTGCCTCCAAAAAACAGAAAGTAGATGTCAAATTGTCATCGCTCAGTGCCAGAGATCGAGCTTTGTTTGAGCAAGCAAAACTGAAAGAGATCACCAGCTGGCTGGACACATCCACAGTGGCACGCATTGCTAGACACCAGATACCTCCGGAAAACATCATGCGGTGCAGATGGATTTTGACTTGGAAAGACGGAGAAACGAACACACATTTGACAAACGAAACGGCAAGTACCAATGCAAATAGGACGCCGAAAGCCAGATTAGTCGTTCTTGGATATGAAGATCCCAGTTTACATCTAATCCAAAGAGACTCCGCAACACTGACAAAATTAGGTAGATCCCTATTGCTACAAATGCAGCATCAAGCCACTGGCAAAAATCTTCTTTCGATGCGAAAACAGCCTATGTAAGAGGCACTGCGGACACTGACAGGGTGTTAGGGCTGGAGCCTCCTCCAGACATGCGCAAAACGATGGGACTTCGAGACCAAGAAGTAGTTCAGCTCTTGAAGGGAGCCTACGGCAGAGCTGACGCTCCCCTGTTGTGATTTCGAGAGCTTTCACGTGGCCTCCAAGAACTAGGCATGAAACCGTCACCAATGGACGCTTGTTTGTTTTCGTTATCAAACCAAAAGGGGGAAACAATCGGTCTAGTTGGTGTTCATGTAGACGACGGAATCTACTGTGGAACCCCAAAATTCCACCAGAAGATAAAACAACTATCCCAAAAATTTCCATTTGGGAGCCAAACGCATACTGAGTTCACATTCACCGGCTTGAACATTTCAAAGAAGGAAAACTATGCCATTCATGTGGACCAGTCTCAATATATACGCCCAATCGAAGTAAAGAATGATAGGAGAAAATCCCCTGATGATCCTATCACAGAAGCAGAAAGACAGTCTCTTCGAGCAGTCATTGGCAGCCTGTTGTACGCAGCCGTGAATACCCGGCCAGATTTGTGTAGTCGACTTGGAGTCATCCAATCAAGGATAAATAATGGCCAAGTAAAAAGACCTTCCCGAGGCCAACAGAACACTCCATGAAGCCAAAGCTAATGCCGAAGTGATCATCAAATACCAACCCATCGAATTAGATAAAACCCGATTTGTTTCTTTTTCAGACGCATCATTTGCTTCGGAAAAGAATCACAATTCTCATCAAGGCCTTCTAATCATGGCATGCCACAAAGATATTGCAGAAAACCACGAGGGAAAGGTGAACCCGGTTTTGTGGGCATCCCGGAAAATCCAGAAGGTCGCTGTCAGCACTTTGTCAGCCGAAGCTATGTCCCTTGCAAGCGCAGTCGATGTGCTCTCTTGGATATAACTTTTTTGGGCTTGGCTGCGGGATTCGTCATGCGAGTGGAAGCTGGGAGATAAAACACTCCTTAAACCCCCACAAGCATTTTCAACATTGTGTGATAAGAACGTGGAAGAACCAAACGAATCTGTGTGCATCACAAAACAAGCACTCGACAACATACAAGCAGAAGAATCAACCACAGTGACAGACTGGCAAATCTCTCTACGATCTAGTAAGCAAGAATGCAACACCATCATGTTCAGATTACCGAACTCTCTTGCAAGCCAAACTGATCACGGAACAATTAAACACTGGCATAAAAATAAGATGGGTTCCGACAGGAGCTCAACTGGCTGACGCACTGACCAAAGTCATGGACAGTTCAGTACTGAGGGAAGTACTCAAAATAGGAACTTACAAACTGTTCGACGAAGACCAGGTCCTGAAAAGCCGTGCCAACACTCGCACCCGAGTCCAGTGGTTGAGACAAAATCGAGAAAAGCCAAGCCGTCTCGATGAAGTCCAGCCAGAAACAAGCTGAGCATTCGTGAGTCATCCAAAGAGGGAACACTTGGAGAAGTGACTGGGGTCAGGAATAGGAAAACCTATTCACGTGGGGTTTTCTTTGACTCTAGCCCGAATGTTTTGCCAAAGCTTGAAGGAAAGCAGTGACCCACCGCTGCCGACCAACATGTTCGACTTCAAAAAGAAAAAGACGAATTTCGAAAGGAAACCAGTCACATGTTGGTGCATTCGTGCATGCCTTCGATCGACCGTGACTTCCGCCTCAAGGTGGGCGGGAAGGGTGGACACTTGAGCCATAGGAAAAGACCTTCGTGTGGTCACGAGGGCGTGCCGGTGTTGGGAGATCAGGGAAGATCTCACAGGTGTTGATCATTGCAGGGCAATCACTTTGGTTGAACATACATTGTTGGATTTACAGAGTTGAACATTGAAGGTGCAGGGCACCTGGTCGTATCCGACCTTGGAAACGTGGACGTTTCGCTGGGTCGGAGGGGGAGACTTCAGCTACCAATTTCATTTGTCCGCGATTGAAACAAAGATAGAAGAAATTCCCGCATATTCAGAATTTCCATATTCTATTTGAAACTGCTTCTGGTGCACGCGAAAAAAACATCAAATAGAAGAAAAGGGCCTCGCCGGAGCATAAAAGAGTTGTTATATCATGTTTTCTAGCTACTTTTGCAAAAACCACTAAATAGCCTAATATCTAATATCTTCTATTTGAAATGCTTGTTTTGGATCTTCTATTTGGCATTGATGAATAGATCTGATAGATAGATACATAGATAGATACATATTTTCACAACAAAACAGCAAGAATATCCAGAAACATGGGAAGGTCTGCTTGGTGCAGGCACTCAGTTTCAAATAGAAGATATTACCAGATTATTTTGTAACACCAAAGTAATCACATATACATTTCTTCTATTTGATGTGCTTGGTTGCTTTGGCAATATCTTCTATTTGACCTTCACTTGTTGTTCTGCTGTCTTGTGGATCTGACCTTGAGAAAAAACTAAAAACTCGAGGTTTTTTTACCTTTTGTACCGGGATTCTGGACATCTTGGGTTGTGCACTGGGTCCTCTGATTTTTGGGTTTAACTTACACCGTCTGTCCCGGCTAAATGTTGGACAAGATCATCCAAAACTTCAAGAATTCACTGTAAAATCCTGCTTCTCTTGCAAGACCGTTCAAATAGAAGATATTGGAGTTCAGAGTGCCCAAACACCATCAAAAAAACATCAACAAAGCGCCTCCTGCACAAGGCATTTTCTTCTATTTAAAGCCTTGCTTGGAAACCACCAAAATTGCACCTTCTGTTTGAAACATTCGAAACATTTCTTCTATCTCTGCCTCCCGGATTATACATATATATATAGATATATGTGATTATCATAATATGTGTGTGTAGTATCAAGAATGGCTTGGGCGCCGGCTCCCCTTTGCTTCTCCTCGCTTCGCCTCTTCACTCCGTCCCGATCCCGCGCGGCGAGCGGACCCCACGGGAGCGGGCCAGGTGGCCTGACCACGTCCTTCAAGGCCATTTTCTTCGGCTCCATCTTGTTGATCTCCGTGGTCTTTGTGTGGGCCATCGTCACGGTGGAAATCATCCATCCAGTGAATGTGGAGATACCCTACATGGAGACCCGGATGCAGCCACCAAGTCTTTGTTTGTCCACTTCTGATTCCAATTTTCTTTCTTGCTTTGACTTCTTGGTTGGTTTGCCCCTTGTCGTGCCCTGTCTGTTTTCTTCGTTTTTTGCTCTTATATATGTGTCTTATGGATTCTTATGGTCGTACATGTCCTGTTTCTGCCTGTTACTCTGACAGTCTGTCTCTGCCTGACTGCCTGCATGCCTGCCTGGCTGACTGGCTGGCGGCTGTTGCCGTCGCTCGTTGGGTCAGCCAAGACGTCTCTGTATTTTGCGTGCATTTGGCATTATTTTGTCATGGTTGGTCGTGTTTGCCAGTTTCCAATGCGCATGCTGTTCTGACACCCTCCACCAAACGAACTAGTGCCCCAAAACAGGTCGAGGAACATGCTTGTCAAACGCGTTGGCGTCCGAACCCCCTGCACCGAATCGGTGGTTTTTCTCGCTTCGGGACCAGGATAGCAACTACACCTCGCCGTGCCCGCAATGTGCATCGGGCTTTGCCACCGTTTATCGCGCATCCTTGACGCTCTTTTCCCAGATTGTGGCGGGCGATGCCTGGGGCTGCTCGCCGCCATGGGCCGTCCATGGGTCATTGGGTGAAACCCCAAAAGTCCTGGCCCACCAGTGATTCAAGGGGTTTGACAGTTTGACCACACAACCGTGACTTCAGTAAGGATTTTGGACTACAACACCAGGCCAAACTTTGTTTTTTAATTCATTGTTTTTGACGTCTAGGACCCACACACACAGAGATATAAAAAAAACACACACACACATGTATATATATATATAGACATATTAGTGACTATTTTGCAAAAGGGTATGCCCCCGAACCGATGGGGGCTTTTGCGTCTCCTTTCCTTCCGAGAAGCGGGTCGAACGGACTTCTTTGGGGGCGAACTCCTTCATTGTTCATGCACGATTTCTTGGACATGCCCCATCTTGATTCAAAGGATTGTTCATGAGAGAGAAATCCCTTGTAAGGGGCGTCGTTCTTTCTTTTTGCGGATCGAAGAACGCGACGTGGACGACTCCATCGCTTCGATCGGCACCGATGGGCGCATTCCTCGACTTTCGAGGTCAGATCTCGCCGCCCTTAGCGCATGCGGCGCCATGGACCGCTCCGATCTTGCTCCCGGGCCCAACCAAAAACGCTGAACAAATGCGAGTTCGACCGCGAGTTCAACCGACCGTCTTCGGACTTCCAGGGTGAATATTGAAGCACCCAATCGTGTAAACCGCAGGTTGAGCGTCAACGTCTCTTTCTGCGCGTAGGATTTTTCCACCCCCCCCACCCCATCCCACCCACAGGTGGTTCAGTTCATGGTTTGGTCCCCCTTTCTTCTGGGAGAATTCTTCCGAACGGCGTGAAGCAACACGCCTCCGGGGGTGAACCGGGCGACCAATGATGAGAGTCCGCGACGTCGAAGGCCGAACGGCGAAGTTCGGTGCGATGCACTTGTTCCTAGTAGCATCTTGTTTCTACTAGCTTCTTGTTACTACTAGTAAGGCACTTGTTACTAGAAGCGATGCACTTGTTCCTAGTAGCTTATTGTTCACTGAGGTTTGGTATCATGATGACGATTTCACTGGGTGTGATGAATCTCATCCTCGTGGCTGGGATTGGACGGAACTGGGGTCGATAGAATATTTTTCAGACGGTGATATTTTTTCGTAGCCCTCGGCGTCACGGGGAGCCTTGTGGCTCTTTAAGCTGACTTGTGCCTGGACCAACGGAGACGGACTCACAACTGGTGATGCGAGAAGGGACGCCTTCTTGTGTACCTGCTTTGATGAAACGGTTAAAGTGTTGATTGGTTGCTGTGGTCCCCTGGTTTGCCTCATGGTGGTTCATGTACCTTATGTTATTGTTTCGTTCCAACTCATTTGAGTGCATGCATGGTGAGCAGAGTTTCCGTGAGAAGATGTCCAGCAAACAAATGTTTGCATTAAACTTGAGAAGTGCCAACGATAAGAAGCATGAATAACTTTCAGCAGGAGTCGAACACCCTGCAAAGCGAAATGGGGGCGCATGAGTTGAACAAATAGCATGTAGAAGGCCCAGTGAGGCACTGTAAATGGTGTTTTGGAATGCTAGGTTTCTTAAGGCCATTTTTCACCAAGCGGCTAGGGAGTGGTATGGGGCTTTCAGATCGAACAAACCATATCTCGAGTGTGTGTGTGTTTGTTTGTTTTTGGAGGGGGCTGAAGAGCTCATAGATCTCAAAGTGTTAGGTACTCAAGGGAATTCCAGAAACGGTATCTTTCTAGCCCACCTGTGGGGTGGCTCTCTTTCCTTGAAGGGGGGGGAGCCAGGCTTGGACTCGTAGGACCTGGGGATGCCCGGCTCGGTGCGAGACAGTTAGCAGAGATAAGACGTTTTTTTAAAAGCATCGCAGATCTGTACCTGGACCATCCCCAATTTGAGATCCTTAAGTCGTGTAGGGATGCGTTTGGGGTACTCTATTGAACGCCCATTTGAGATGCCATTGGGTGGTCCTGCCATTGAGTCTAAGCGAGTGAATATGTTTGCCCCGGACACGCAGACTGAGGCTGTGATCGTTGAGAAAGCTGCCGAAGCACGTCAGACTGACTTGGACAAGAAGTTGATGCAGAAGGACCAAGTGCGGGAAAGGAATATGGTGGAGTTGGCCCTGATGTGTGATCGGATGGACAAGGATGGCAGCGGGGCGCTTTCTTTAGAGGAGATGCTGAGCGGCACGTGGGTTGAGATTGGTCACGGGATGTCATAGGCTTTCTTGAAACACATATAAATTCTTTGGCCTGGTTTTCAATCTCAAAGTTGTTTTTCCTCGCTGCATATTCGGGCCATAGCCCTTACTGAAGTGTGGCCATAACACAAGTGGAGACGAAGACATACAACCAATCCAAAGCACTTATGATGCCTGCACCGGCACCAGATCGTATTTGAAGCTTGCACCAGCCGTCGCTTCTTTAAAAAAACGAACACTACAATCCCCAAGAATCAAGGGGGCGAAGGGCAGTCTTTCGACTTCGATTGGGGCCCCAAGGGGGCCCTTGGCTGTCATTGTTGACCGCACGCGCTACAATTCTCATAGTCTCATACGGCTCATACAGTAACATACACAAACACAGCACATGTAACACATATCCACATTTTTTGTCATAATTTCCAACATTTGTTGCAAGGATGATGGATGGATATGCCAATGACAAGAAGTTCTACAGCGTGATGCAAGGGGCCGGAGTCGAAAAGGATGACTTGCAAACGATGTTCAATGTGCCTGGGTGGGCTTAGCCATGGCATTTGGGGGGGAATCTGTCCGACTGGTCTTGGAAAAGGACACAAGACTGGGTCATTTTCCAAGACCACCTTAAACATTGCGTTAAACCATTGTCCAAGACTGCGTGGTTTTTGACGGTCTTAAACTGTGCAGACATCTCTCGCACATGTGCGGTTTCCAAGCCATGAGAATGAGAGTCAAGCGTGCAGTTGATGTTGTCGAAGGTGCTGGACACCAACGATTCTGGTGAAGTGGACTATGTGGAATTCTGCAATCAGCTGGGCAAGTGCCAGAAGACCGATCCCTTAATGGTGGCCTCGATGACCAGGTATTCAGTGATGGAGCTGAAGAAGATCATTCGATCCGCCCCGCGGCGGCGAGCAGGTGGTCAGCATTCGCCGGTGTTCACGGGGAAACCACCGTGGGTGTGGCATGGGATCTGCTGTCGGATGGTGTTGGTGTTCCACATGCACCTGGAAATCGTTGCAAATGCCGCGAATGGTCCACACGCTGCATGGGGGAAGGGGGGCAGCCTGTCCAACCCGCCTGACGGCACCTTGTGGCCCTTGGGACCTGGGAGGGGGACGGAAAGGATATGACTTGTCAACTGTTTCCACTGTTTCCACGCCCCTGAGCCAGATTTCATCAAATTTCCTTGCGAACTCGGGGGGGTGTCGACACCAAAGCAGATGCGCCAGTATGTGGTGCTGTCGATGGTTTTCCCTTTGTATCCTTTGTGACCCACTTGCATCTTGGCCTGGCTGGTGCAAACAACAGGGAATGAAGGAATGGATTCGTCTGAAGGGATTGACCCTCCTGCAAACTAGCCTGGACCAGCCAGAGGTGGTTTGGAAGAGGATCTAAACTGACAGCGTCGGCCCCAAGGAAGTCATCGAGGCGCTGAAAGAGCAGAAGCAGATGATGCAAGATCAGCTGGAACTCTTTCGGCAGATTCCCAGCTGCCAAGAGGCCACTGAACAGCTGCATCACAAATGGTCTCGCCGAAAGCCGCTGAAGCGTCAGAACCACGAGGCCATGCCGGGTACCCTCGTTCAGCGGAAGCCATGCGTCCGCAGGAAGCCTCGTCCGGACGCAACCCTCGGGACGGCCGAGAGCTTTGCTTATCGGTTTACAGATGAATGTGCGAAGGGTGAAAGGGGTGGAGGTGGAAGGAGTTTCAGGAAAAAGAAGAGTATCCAACGATTTAAAAGCTACAGTCACTCAGATACAGTCGACTCCATTTGGCAAGAGAGAGAGAGAGGGAGAGTGTGTCGTAGAGATGTGCCCAAGTAGATCGACCAAGGGGCGCACCCGACCATATTCTTTCCCTTCAGGGCTCTTGTTGGCCTACGCAGTCCAAGACACAGGACGCACCCAGGTCAACCTTTATTATTATCACAGGACATTTAACAGCGAAAGCCCTTATCACAACACACGTGATACACGTGGTCCTAAGCAGTTCACCAACGCATCTTTTTAAAAAGGTCCTTCGCACGGATCCGCATCCCAACGTCCGAAACGCCATGTCGCCTGCGGTCGGGCTGCGGTCGCCCGCGGCCCCAGGGTGAGTTGACGGCCCTCGGCGAGTACGATCGAAAGATCCAAGCGGAGCTGGAGCAACTTCTGGCGACTTCGGCAGCGAGGGAGGTCGACGGGGCGCGGGGTCGGTCGACGTGACCATCGAGACCGACACGGACAACACATCGACAGGGATTTGAGGGTTGAGGGTTCAGGGCGATTTGGTCTATGAAGGCGTTCAGTTTTCTAAGTCCGGTGCAGTGCTCCTGTTTCATCCTCTTTCCATTCTTTCTTCGTTTGCGATGGATCGGCTCCATCAAAGCTTCTCAGTCTTTTCCGGGTTTCCGCGAGCTGGGAACCTTATTTTGGTGACATGGTGACCCTAATCTTTGAAAGAACTCCCAGCTTGAAGTCATTTCTTCTCGGACTCCATTGGCATTCCCACCGGGTAGGTGCTCCAACCTGAATCGACTCTCTGCAGTCGTTTTTGGGATGTGCAGGTCTGCCTGCTCCGGATTCTGGAGGTGTTGCTCTGTTATTCTCTCCCCAACGAGGTAAGTGGTGATGTGATGTGTATTTGCTTGGTGGGGGCTGCACAATGCTGCGCACATGTTCTATCGGGGGTTTCTTTTCGGGTGTCCCCCCTCCAAAAGTCACACATTAGATTGCTGCTCGCAAGAGCTGAGTCAGTTGACGAAGTTCCACTTTACTGCAGGTAGACCTTGACTTGATTCAACCGCAAGAAGTGCTGGGTCAGAAGAACTGAATGTTTGAACATGGGTGAAACGATGGAAGCTCGTTAGCACTGTAGAAAAGGTTTCAAAAAAGCCTGCAGGTACGTGAGTCGAGCGTCCTTGACTCATATCACGGGAAAACCATGGTGTCTTCGTTGGATGCCGACCATGGAAATCCCGGGCATCCCCCTGCGAAATGCCTACATTCTACTCGAGGTGAATTGTGCAACAGGTGTGGACACACTTCGAACTTGGGTTTTCAGTTAACTCAATTGCCACGATGGGAAGGAAGGTGAGGGAACGGAAAGGCGCATAAGTCCGCAAAACAGTATTGTTTAATCAATGTTTCACAGCAAGTGCAAGGTGAAGCGGCTGCACAGCGGCGGGAAACCTGTTTTTTGGGGTAGGTAGCATGAAGAACTATGGAATCAAACAAAGCAAATTAGACAGCGTGGTCAAAAGTTCAGGTTGCAGGTACGTCGAAAGAGCGTCCTCTTTCGATATCCTAGTCTGATCCTGGAGCTTCGTTGGCTCACGCCAGGAACAGACCCGTGAGCCCCCTGCCTTGGATAGAAAATCTAGGTGGTGGTGGAAAAGTAAAACAGGTGGAAACCCTTAGAGCCAGGGTGTGACACACACAAAACGCCGTAATCGGCGCACAGAGCGAGCGGTGGAAAACGCGGGTCTTTTTCTCAAAAACCGCCTGCACGCTTGCAGGTTATGCCCTTTTTGGGCGTAGAGGTTGACCAAAGCTTCGTGGCATGCAATGCAATTCCTGCTATCTGTGGAGTGGTGCAGAGCATGTGAAAGCTGATCAAACGGCTGCGGATTAAAATTTGTAAAAGTTGGGACAAACGCACAATGCACAAACCTGATATCATGACGTGGGAATACCGAAAAAGTTCAGAGATTCTGGTGGGAAGTCCATCGTTTATAGCCCGGCGGCTCGAAAATCAGGAAATTCAGGGATAAAATGGAAACCGTGGAATCAGTTATGAAAGTGGAGAAACGGTGAATTCCGGCATGGCGTCGGCGCCCCACTGAAGGGGATCACACCCAGTACCCGAGTGGGAAGACTGAGCGAGTCACACTTCGAACTTGGGTTTTCAGTTAACTCAATTGCCACGATGGGAAGGAAGGTGAGGGAACGGAAAGGCGCATAAGTCCGCAAAACAGTATTGTTTAATCAATGTTTCACAGCAAGTGCAAGGTGAAGCGGCTGCACAGCGGCGGGAAACCTGTTTTTTGGGGTAGGTAGCATGAAGAACCATGGAATCAAACAAAGCAAATTAGACAGCGTGGTCAAAAGTTCAGGTTGCAGGTACGTTGAAAGAGCGTCCTCTTTCGATATCCTAGTCTGATCCTGGAGCTTCGTTGGCTCACGCCAGGAACAGACCCGTGAGCCCCCTGCCTTGGATAGAAAATCTAGGTGGTGGTGGAAAAGTAAAACAGGTGGAAACCCTTAGAGCCAGGGTGTGACACACACACACATACACCCAAACCTGCTAAAAGCATCCTTGGCTATTCGAGTCATCAGTGACCTGCACACCGGTGCCAAGGTTTGGGCACGACAACTCCGTTTAGAGGCACCGAGCAATCTCAGCTTGGTCTCGCCGAGCAACGTGAGTCTGAGCCCATCGATCTCGCAGGTGTCGGCTTCGGCCGCTTCCGGAAGCGGTGGACGTTTGGCTGAGCGGACGGGGCGACGGCGGGGGGGGGAGCTCTTTCCCATTTGTTCTGCGAGTGTTGAAAGAGAGAAGAGCCGCTAGCACATGCCCACGGCATGTATATTGATTCTCCACCTGCTTGGGAATTCGTGGTCCTTTTACTAAGTATCAGAATTTGCTTTTCTCGATGCATGCAGTGATTTTTCCACATTCTTTGTGCCATGTGCCTGTAAATTTGGGGGCATCCGAGTTGTGCAATCCTTTTTGCCCCCTTGCCCACCCCCCCCGACACACCTCCAGCCACTCAGGGCTGAGAATGGATCCCAAGCAGCAGTGGTTTGAGATCGGCCGGCGCTTCAAGGCGACGGGTGGGGGGTGTGAGATCCAAAGAAGCACGGTAGAAAGACCTGCAGAAACACGGCGTAAGGTAGGGCCCATTGGATCCCAATTGGATTTCCCGATTTTCATGGTGAAGGGCCCCAAGTACCTCCTCAGCCCAAGCACCTTCTGAGAAGATGCTTGGAGCCGCTAGGGTCAGTGATCCGAGCGAACCCACCATTCCCGCTGGGGTGCGGGGTCATTGGATGGAGACTGATGGCTGTTCCTGCCGGCCCCGGAGACTGGGAGGAGCTTTCAGATCACTTCGAAGAACACCTGGAGAGGGAGAAGGCGATGCACCAGCAATGCCATGACATCTTGTCCACCTTGAGCTCCATCCTGCAGGAGCACCGGGTCACCAAGCTCAAGGATTAGGACGTCAAATCGAAATCACCAAGCCCGGCAGATGTGATTTCTCAATGCCCATTCTTGTCGATTTTGGGGTTTGCGACGCCGATGCGTGCAACAGCTCCAAGGTACTTGTCTCTGAAGAGATGTGATCACCTCCCAGATTCGATTCACCTGTTCTCCGCGACGCCGTTTCACCCAGATGACGCCTGTCAGCTTGGGGGGACCTCTCTACGAGAGAGATATCTTGAGCTTTTCCGCCCAAAGTGGGCCGGGCAAGTCTTAGAAAAGGAAGGCAGGTGCTGTGGTGGACCAATGGGGGAGGTTGGACGGATTGAATAAGTGTAGAATACCGCAAAAGAACGAGATGCAGGACAATACGGAAGCAGATGTTCTATTTTGGTCTCTATGAATGGTGCAATATGGTACATTCTTTGGAAACGGTACCTAACACTTGTATCTGTATAAGTATATTCTGCTCATTGAAGATGATTGAAGGAACTCCGGCTTTCTCATGGGATTTGGCACCCCTCAGCCCCAAAAAGCGATGGCACAAGGGACCGATCGGGTTTGGAGAACATCGGCTCGCCCCACCGGTCCCCTTTCAATCAGACCATGGCCGAGGGGCTGTTTCGGTGCGTTTGGAGCCTGTCAGATCCGAAGTGGGGCCTTTGATGCGGAAGGCGTAAAATGTGGAAAGCTTTATATAGATGCGGAAAGCTAAACATATGGTCTTTAGAACAATCGGCTTAGACTCAGGATAGAGCCGTGGAGCTACCCACAGGCGTGGGCCCAACCCCGGAGCCAGCCCCAAACTCTGGTAGCTTGACCACGCTGGTAATCTATTCTATTAATTTCATGTAATTTCTATTATAATTATATTCTATGGTCCACCACGGTCCCTTTGTCTTGACCACTTGCTGAGGTGCTGCTTTCCAAGAAGAAGAGGTTGCTTGCCTCCAATGACAAAGGCCCCTTGCAGCAAGCAACCCGTGGCCACTGCGTGGGTGTTGTGCAAAAGGCATCACGTGGGTCATGACAGTTCTGCTAAGGAGTTGTTCGGGTCGTTGATCACCATGTCACGGGGAGGGAGCCACAAAAATGGAACTTCTGCCCACGGCCCGTCAGGCCGACGGACACTCTTTTTGCCCCTCCGTAGGTATCACGTCCTGTGACTCCAGTGCTTTTCTTCCAGTCGAGGCTGTGTGGTGGAACTCACCTTCGATGGGAAGGAGATCGCCGTGAAGAAAGAGATGACGAAAGATGACCCCCCTGTGGAGAAGGAGGTGCACCCGCTCCCAACCATTGGGCGACGTCTTTTCTCGAAAGTTGACGGGATTCGTCCTGGTGCAAAAACAGATGTTCCACACATAGGCTGCCTAAAGGCCTGTACATTTCCATACAGGTGCCCCTAGAAAACAGGTTCTAGGGGCCTAGGCGTTCGGGGATGCCTGGCTCCACCCAATCTACGCAAGTTAGGGGATGCAAGCGGCAAAGTTGGGACACTGGTGGAGCTGGGGGTGTTGACGAGCAAAGTAGGCACGTATTCAGAAAGTATGGCTGTTCATTTTACAGTAGGATGTGTGACGTGCAGCATGGTTTGGAGCTTGCTTTTGAGGTTTTTCTGTTTTTGATCCTGTTCCTTTTGGGCATTGCTGGGCATTGATGCCTCACACGACAAAAGCCTCATGAAGGTTCAGAGTGACAAAGGTGTTTCTGTGCGTTCGCCAGGTGTTCTTTGCCTGGCGGACTTGTCCAACAGCCCGGGCAATGTAGACTCTTGATGAATAGACCTGCCCAATTGAATTGAACAACCTCTTCTGCCTCTCGCGTACACGAAGGGTCAATTGCCCTCTGCACATGATCGCTTGCATTCCACAAGGCGGTCTTCGAAATCCCCAATGAAAAGAATGAGATGTGCAGACATCTCCCAAGCAAAAGATGGATCCAACAAACAACTAATCACAAAGAAAATCCTGGACGGCGAAGTCCCAGGCACAAAGATTGGCCTTGGTGACACGTTCGGCCACAGAGACCAAAAATGGGAGTTCATTGTGACCTCGCCAAGGGCGTCCGCCAAGGATGACACCGCACGGCATGGTTTTGCCCCACGCATGATGGTCATGAGCATCATGACCGCCAGGGAGCATTTGACCTCCATGTTTCTTCTGTAAAAAACGGCACCACTTCTTGAGGGTACTGCTCAAACTGGCAAATGTGAAAAATTCATCATCAAAAAGATCTAACTTGTGGCGGCGTTGAACAAGCCTCACAGCCAGCTCGGTATAGGACACTTTGTGCCCCGGGTCGGTTGACCATTTCAAGCTGCAAAGGAAGTTGGCAAAGGCTTTCCAGTTAATGTTCGAACTGGGCCAACCTACTGGTGGAATTGTGGTGTCCAAACCATGTGCCTGCCACGTGTAGTTCTGTTGCCCTTCATGCCATGGAAGAAGAGGGAACCGCTGGACGGGGTCCTCAGCTTCAACGTTTTCACCATCGTCAGATTCAAGCTCCCTAGGTGGTGCAGTTGTACCGATCATCTTGGACAATTGTGTAAGCCACTCTTGCCTTTCTTTGACGCATGAGCATAGCGTTTCATACATCCGCGGTTGGATGGCAGCATTGCTTAAGGCTGCTTTCTTTGCAGCAGAGTCAGCGCGGCGATTGTGAACAATGTCGGTCACCGTTGTGCCATGCTGTGCCGCTGCAACGGGTGTTAGCAAGTACTCGGGTGTGCCCTCAAGAGTGTGTGCAGGTATCCAGACACATTCAAGTGGACAAGCATGCAGCTGTCGGCGTGCAGTGAAGAGGGTTAGCACGAATTGCCACCAAAAATTCAGCGGCCATTCCTCACTGATGTCCTCCGTACCGACAAGCTCATTGAGGTGGTTGGCAAGGCTCTTGCAATCAGTTCTGATCTGGATAGGACCTGAGGCGGTGGCAAAGGCCCAAATGGCAGCCCACAATTCCGCAGTGTAGCTCGAAAGATTCCAACGCTGGACATGGCCGGAATGAACAACAACACCATGAGAGTTCACTACGGCAAACCCTGCACAGGAAAGCATGAAGTGAGTGGGCCACTGCACAGACCCATCAGTCCACAAGGTTTGTTTGGACTGGTGTGGATCCCATGTACCAGGTGGGATAGCCGAGGGGTCCGAAACTTGCAAGCGATGCCGAAGAACTGAAACAGGATGCTCAACAATACCTAACAATTCAAAGTTAGCACCCAGCTCGTGGACAGGCGGTGGAGGATTATCATGTCGAATTTGAGTGCATTCTCTAACAAGGTGAGGCAATGATTCTTTGGAACTTGAACACATACGACATGTGGAATGTTCAACCCTCTTGGCCGCAGCAAGGCGGTCATTGGTGAGGACACACCCAACCAGCTGTGCTTCGAAGAAGGCAGAATCCGGAATCTCCCCTTCAGTCTTTGCTGCTTTATGACGCAAAAAGCTAGTTGAGAGCCAAAAGTCAAGGATGCCTGTAGGGTTCCTAATATCCTTACGACTCTGTAGTCCAGCTTGTTCGTAACAAACGTGCCTGGCAAGTTGCTGGAGGACAGGACGCACATCACGTTGACCCAGCTGATGCAAGGCACACAGCGGCTTGCCAGCCAACGCCAACATGCCATCAGCGCGAAGATCTATGTGAAAGAAAGCAAAGGCATCCCGAACCCGTTGAACAATGGCGTGCTTGTGGTGGCAAGACTTAAGAAGATCATTGAACCTTAACCTTTCACAGGGGAAAAGCTGGAGGTACCTACAAACATCCAGAATGGAATTATAATGTCTGGCACACATAGGCTCAACTCTGTGCGGCTTGCAAAGAAAAGCAAAAACGAGGAATTTTGCCCGCCAGTGGGGTCTGTTCTTCCACAGTGAGGTGACAATTTCACCTTGAATCCTGGCAAGGGCTCTTGCCGGGATCATGTTAATGGCAGCATTATACGTGCACTGAGGAATCACTTTGGCACCTATAATTTTTGCTTTCTGAGCGCAAGAGATGGGAAGGCAGGAAATATTACGCACATCAGCAATAATCTTTGCGGTTTTATCGTCCGAGAAATGCATGGCAGTGCGATTGCTCGTTTGGATGTGCACACCGAGGATCTCAATTTCGAGCGCACATTGCATGTCTGGGAACAAACTTTTGACTTCTTTCCTGGCAGAACTGGAGGAGCCCCACACAACACATTTGGATGCATTCATGGACTGGCCGGCCAGCTCATCCCACATCTGGGTAATGCGAATAGCTTGAGCAAGGTGATGTTTGTTAATCAGTTTCGTCCACAAATAAGCATCGTCAACAAAAGCTTGTGCAGTGACACTAGGCAGAACATCCAAGAGGTGGACCCACACCTTCATATGGACATTAATGGCAATAAGTGACAGAGAACAGCCCTGGGCCACACCGTTTGGGCCATGAGTGCTTTGGGGTTGAACCCAGGCTTTGTAGGAAAGGTGCTTGGACATGTCCTGGTATATTTTCACGAACATGACGACAATCCGCTTGGGGACACCAAAGGCAAGCATAAGTGCAGCAGCATACGAGGGGATAATCCTATCAAAGCATTTAGCTTTATCGATTTTGACCCCAATCAGGTCACACTTTTCATTGCGGTTGTGGTCAAGCGAAAGGGCAAAGCGAGTGTGGATGGCAGCCATGTGGCGTTTTGGGATGCCACCCTGCAGTTGGTGAGGCATGACAACCATTTGCCAATGTTTGAGATGCACAAAACGCGCGCCAGTGTAAGCCAGGAGGATGACAGGCAAAAGCGTAATGAGTCTCTTTTGCAAAGGTTCGGAACTGCCATTTTTGTTTAAAATGATTTGCCTTGCTGTGGACAAAATCTTTGGCAGAGGTTCATCATTTGTTTCAAGCCTACGAAAGAGAGCAGCAAACCACGCAAAACAAGCATCTGGGAGAACCTGCATTTCAGTGGTCCGCCACCCGTCTAAGCCTGGAGCAGCTTCTTTCTTTCTCCTCTTAACTATATTTTTTAGATCCGCCGCACAGAGCTCTGGAACAGGGTAATCAAGATGGAAATGATGAATGTGGGGCCACACAATTTCCAACATCTTGAGAGCATGAGGGTAACCCAAGTTCGCACTGAAAATGGGGTCCCACTGGTTATTGATCTCATGCA